AAATAATAAGTTCATTAATATTATAGATATATATAAATATATGATTACAGAAATAATAAAATATATACTTTTATATATACTTCGAAGTCAATAAGGGTAAAGCACCATTAACTCACCATTGACCTGACTCCGTTTCTCTTTTAAAAACCTAATTTGCCCCTATCCAACCCCAATTTATAAAAAAATTCATTCCCTGTGGAATTAGGATTGATTAAAATTTGTCAAATTTAGATTATTTTGCATTCTCATGAATAGGCTCTTTTTATTGCAAAATTTATCTAAAAAAAGTTAATGAAAAACTAAGTTAGGATGCCATGTGGATACCTTTGTTGGATTTTTTTTTACAAAATTTATCTAATTAAAAAAATAAAAAATAAAACTAAAAATAGAAAGAAAAAAAAAACTAAACTGAAATGTCACGTGAATACTTTTATTTTTTTTCACAAATTTTATTTAATTAAATTTTTTTAAAAAAGAAAGAAAAATGAAAGAACCATAGGGCACGTCGAAACCTTAAATGGTAGTCAACCAAAAGTCAACATAAGCAAAATTAATCATATGGATAGATAAATTTATTAATATAATAAATATATATTAAAATAAAATTGATTGAATAATAAAAAAAATGTATTTATATATATATATATTTCTCGAGACGGAACACTCTAAATCCACCTTCAACCATGATTTTGATAAAGAAAGAATCTCAACAACCTCAACCAAATTTCGATTCAAAAAGGATTATTTTGTATCAATGTGGGTTGAAACCTATCAAAAATTAATAATTTTGTCATTTTTACCTTCATTGACCATTTTCCTTACAAAATTTACCTAACTTAAAAAAAACCAAAAAAAAAAAAAGGAAAGGAAAATAAAACAAAATGGGTGTTAGTGGAAATCTCCATTGACATTATTTTTTTAACCAAATTTAGTGTATAAATTTTTGGAAAAACAAAAGTAAAAAAAAAAAATCTAGAATTTACATTGACACCACTATCAACATCCTTTTCTTTTAAATTATCTAATTAAAAAAATAAAAATATTAAAAAAATTTTCAATAATATCAAATGAATCCACATGAATTTGTTTTTAAAAGATAATCTATTAAATATTTAAAGAAAAAATTTTAAATATAAATTAAAATAAAAAAAATGAGAAAAAAAAAAGCACAAAGGAATTGCCATGTAAAAAGTCATGTGAAAAGTCAAAGTTAACAAAATTAATATATTGGATGGCCGACATGAAAAGGATTTTAAAATTTTTAAAAAATTTTATTAAATATGAAAAAGAAAAAAAAAATTAAAGAAGTGAAAAGATATAATCAAATGGCATGATATTTAACCTACTCTTGATACCAAGTAGGTCGCATAAAACAATTCAAATCTATAAAATATTTATTAGATATGTAAAAAATTAGAAAAGGAAGAAAGTAAAAAAAAAATGTGACATACTTTTGGTATCAAATAGGTTTCACTAATTTATTAAAAATCCAAAAAAAAATTAAATTTAGTGAAAAAACAAAAAGTAAAAGAAAGGTAAAAATAGCAAAAAAGAAATTTAGTATAATTGGATGTTACATACAAAAATGTAAAATTATTAAAAATATATTTATTTTTTGTTTTTTTTTAATTAGTTAAATATAAACAAGGAAAAACAATTTCACATAAAATGAAAAATCTAAAATATATTTATTGCATATATAAAAAATTAGAAATTAAGAAAAGTAAAAGAGAAAAAAATGAACACATGGCATTCAGATCAAGTGAATTTAATAGAAAAACTTAAAATTGAAAAAATTATTAATTTAAAATATATAAAAAAAAAACAAGAAAAAATATAAAATAAGATAAGATAATGACATTTGACACTTCTAATAAGAAGTTCTACACTCCGTAAAAGAATAAAATTTATATTATGAATAAAAAAACAAAATAAGATAAAATAAGATAGTGCCACATGAAACTCACAATGAGAATTCCTATGCTTGCTACAAGAATAATATTTATATTATGAATAAAAAAAGCAAAAAAAAAAGATAAAATAAGATAGTGCCAAATGGCAAAAATTTATATTATGAATAAAAAAAGTAAAACAAAAAGATAGGATAAGATAATGCCATGTAACACTTTTAATGAAAAATCCTACGCTCTGTATAAGAGTAAGATTTTATATAATGAATGTGTAACTTCCTGGTATCATAGTGGACCTGAAATTTCCATCCATCTTGAAAGAGAGTTTAGTGACACTTGCGACTACTTTTAAAAACTATTGAATTATAAATATTGAATTTTAACATTAATTGAATGCTAACATGATTTTAATTTTTTAGAAAAAATGAATTTTAAGATTAATTAAATGCTAATATGATTTTAAATTTTCACAATTTGATTGTTTTTGTTTTATTAGGATAATGATAATTTTGGTTTAATTGGGAATCGAAGCATTTATGATAAAAAAACAAAAAAAAAAAAAAGAAGTGTAGCACTGACAATAAAAATTCTATGGAATAAGATTTATATTACGGATAAAAAAAGCAAAAATAAACAAAACTCTACCATATCATCTTTGTACTAACTTCTTCCATTGTTATTGTTAGAGATTAGTTGGAGTTATAACCATTACTATTCTAATGTATAAATTCTACAAGTCTAAATCTCAAACAATTTGCTTTTTTGATCTTCTTTCAATCAGCTCAAAATATCTGATAAACAAACAAAACCTTAATCCCTTATTTAAACATTCTCAAATTAACGAAGTCTTAATCCTTTATTTAAAGACTCTCAATTTCATTTTTTTTCAAATATTTATCAAATCCTTCTAGTTTTAAGTGAAACCCTAAATCTTTTATCATTGCTTTAAGCACTTTAATCAATTTTATTCAATATATTTCAAACAAAAAAAAATCAAATAGTTTTATTCAATGTAGTTTGTAAGGAACTTATTTTGGTTGTTGATGAATCTTTTGGTTAACATTAAGGATGATGCAAATTAGCATAATGCAAAAAAATTGGTTGGCGAGGATGAGGAAACAAGTATTGCTCGAGAGTGTTTGTACAGAATGTCAATTTCATTAAAAGGGGACTTTGTTTTTCCATTGCTTTGAAGTTATCTATGGTGTTCTTACCTTCTGTGTAGTGGCAAAAACGATATGCCATTTTCATTTCAATTTGCTAGATTGAGAATTGTTCCAAGGTTTGAATTTACAAATTACGAGTTATTAATTTGCTTGTATTTAATGCATTGCATCCAGATTGGTCACTTTTTGTTATTAAATCTATTTAATATAGATAAAATTTATTAGGAACTTAAATTTTTATGTTTTGTGTATTATAAATGAGCATTTAAAATTTAATGGATTTGATTTGATTCTTACACATCATTCCAGAACAAAATGATTTGATTCAAGTTTTGGTTATGTTGATGTTGAAGATTTTAATTAATGTGGTAAACTTCAGTATTGATTCAAAGGTTATAAAAGCGTTGTCTTTATTTATAGAGTTAGTAAATAAAAATTTTGGAAATTTTAAGATATGTTTAGGGAAAATGATGTAGTTGGTGATGGAAATTATGATGGCAAATTATAGGCTATATGTGATATTAATCCAAATTATTGTTGTGGATACGGAGGCTAACCAAGATTGGAATGAGGACGAAAACAATATGATGAAGGTTTTAAGAAATGTTTGCATAAATTACCATTTGTAAGGTGGTAACATAATCATTTAATTGGCTATGGAGCTCATTCAAGATTTATTGGCAAGTTGCAAGTGGCAATTCAAACATGTTTTTTTGTGTGTAGTTACATATACCTTTGAGAATTGTGCAAATGAGGTTTGAGGATCTTTAAATCTTTTATATGTATTTATATCAGAACAATTTATTTCACATAGTATTTATTTCATTGTGGGTGTTTTTTATAAGTGATGATAGGGGACGTAGTGGAGTCAATGATTCAAAATATACTATGCTCAGATCCACATCTTAATGTAAGGTGGGCTACCATTTTTGCTATTCTAGAATTGTCCAAGTCTTCAAGTGATCAAGTGCTATAAGACCTTAAATTTAAGCGTCCATCTGACTCTGATAATCTTCGAGTGATGGTTGTCATAACGTCTAGATCCGTGAACCTATCGCTAGATATTTATTAAGAAATTGTTACCAAATTTTTTTATTTAAGTGCAATTAGCCACTCAACTGAATTTGTCTATTTTTAAAGAAAAATCATAAGTTTGGCTTAGGTATCTTTGAAAGGTAAATTCAATATCTATGAAATTAGAATTAAGTTCGAAAGTACGATTACGTGTGAGGAAGATCATAGCACCCCACAACGCTTATCCAGGGATGGTATCAACTTGATTTTATGTTATCCATTAAACCTTAAAAATCTTACTAAATAATTAATCATTAGAAATTATTTTTAATTGACTCCAATATTTTTGACAAAAAATTAAAAAATTCTCTTACCTCAAAAGTATACAAAAAACTACTATTTCTCTTGCAATGGCTCCGTCGTCATATTATTTTAAAAAATTTCAAAAAAAAATTTATATTTCAACTTTTTCTAGAGATTTCTTTTCTTATTTTATTTTGAAAAAAAAAATTAATGCCTTTATTTAAGAAAAAATTGATACTTTTAACTTTTTTACTAAATGCATTTTTTGAAATTGAGAAAATTTTTATTTAAGAAAAATTGATATTTTTAATTTTTTTTAAAATCTTTTTTTAAAATATTTTTATTTAAAAAAAATTGATACTTTCAACTTTTTTCTAAACATATTTCTTTTGAAAATATAATTTTGAAAAATTTTTTTCTATGAAAAATTGATACTTTTAACTTTTTCTTAAATTTTTTTTCTTTTGAAACATTTTTTTATTGGTATTCTAAAATTGTCATCATTCTTTAAAAATATTTTTATTTATTTTTTTTTTTCAAAACTTTCATCCAAAAAAACATTAGATAAATAACATAACAGGACATACTACCCAAAAAATCTGGCTTAACTTTGCTTGGGGAGGAGCTTGGCTACAAGGATGAACTCGGCTTGGTGCAAAAGCAGCTTGGCTTGGCAGCTTAGGGGATGCAGATTTATGGAGAGGGTCGTGACTAGGTCGGCTTACCATGGGTTGACGTGCGGATGTACTGGACGGGTTGGCGGAAAAAGTTTCTTTTAATGCTAAACGACACCGTTTAAGGGACTATAAAAGCCTCTTTTCAAGCCTTTCTCTCCATTCTTAAAGTTTTGTTTCTCTCTCTATCCTCTGTTATTCTCTCTCTTTCCCTTTTCAAGATTTTTCAAAAACCAAAATAAACTAAAAAACACAAGCCCAGCTTTAAGCTTTATTAAAAAATCAACGTTATTCTGCTTCCCTCACTATCGTACGTCACTGAAACAACTTCAAAATTTTCCCACAAACTTGTCTCAATCTCTTCTTCCTCATACTCTAGCTAACTACTTCTAAAACTATCTAGATAGCCATAGATCTGTGCTCGAAAGTCATGATTTCCATCTTGGTTCCTACACTCCTATGGCCACTTCTTCAAGGTATGTTATTAGCCTCGTTCTGGGCTACCTTGACATTGAATTTGAAGACCTAAAACCCTTTATATAATGACTCAAATGAAACAAAAAAAATTGCTTCTTTGTTTTTAACTTTGCTTTGTTGTTTTTTTTGGCTTAGTAGGAGGTGGGTGATGAAACTTGGTTCTTTTTGGGTTTCTGGGTAGTGGTCGGAGTCACAGTCGCTTCTGGGTTGCAAAGCTATTACTGTTGGCTTATGAATTTCCTGATTGTTGGTTGGAATTGAATTTGAGACTGTGGTTAGGTGTGCCGTGCGTTGCCTTGGTTCTACTGTGGTGGATTTGCAAGTGGTAGGGTGATTTTACTCAGTTTTTTTATTTTTTGTCCCTTGAATTTTCTGTGTAATTACTGTGTGTTCTGAAGTTTTGCTAGGTATTTGGTGGATTTTTTATTCTGGTGGAGCCTAGTTGAATTGGTGATAGGGTTGGATTGATCGACGGTAGCAGTGTGATGTGAATAATGGTTTTCAATTTGGCAATGGTGTTTGTGGTTTCACATGAGGCTATGACTGGTGATGGCAATGGTAGAGAAAGGCGATGTTAGTCTAAGCCGTTGCTAAAGTGGAGGAAATAGGTGAAGATCGTGATCTTTCTATGACCTTTTCTCTAATATTTCATCTAATCTATTTCTTGCCCCCCTTTTTTGTAGTGTAATGGTTGTTGCTTAAATAAGGACTCAACCCCCACAGGATACAAGATCAAAATCTTATCTGGTTGAATGAGATTCTCATCCTTGGTCTCCTTCAATTTCAATTTTAAACTCAACAAGTTTATTTTCCAATTTTAATTCAAACCCAAACATAATGATTTATCTCCTGAAATAAAGTAAGGCAAACAATTATAAATATTTTGGATTTAAAGTCCAAAGCAAACACAAAACTCAAATCCAAAACTAAATGGGCTAAACCTAAAGCCCAATTTAAACTGACTTGAGATTCGAGGATAACTCAGGACGAAATAAGATGTCTACAGCAGTCTGTCAACCTATTACTTCTGCTACATGTTTATGATTAGTTATTATTCTTGTGTATTGTAGTTATAGCTTTGTCTTTATGTAAACCTCTTTTTAACTTGGTTATTTCTTTACCTTGTTGGCACAGGCAATTCAAAATAACCTGGAAGAGGTGGTCCTGATGTTGTTGGACTGTTTTCATGATTCTCATACACGTGTTCGATGGGCTGCTATTAAAGCCATTGGACATTAGAGCGTACACTTGAGCCCAAACTTTCAGCAGGAATGTCATCACCTATGTTTACCTGCATTAGCTGTAGTCATGGAAGACTTCCGATCTTCTCAAGAACAGGTGTGCCACCCATTAATATTAGTTTTTATCGTTTCTGCTAGTGGGAAAATCCTTAGTTTGTTGTTGTTTATTGTATTTATTTGTTTTTTTATATAAACACCAAATAATTATTAAGCTATTCATTGAATTGCTCACTATAGACACCCATTGTTTAATGCACAATGCTATTTACTTGTTTAACGATATTGCTCAACAATAGTTAGAATTTTTTAAACTTGTTTATGCAATCAACTTTAAATATGAAAGTGTTCCCTTAGGTTAGAATTCAGCCCTGAAAACAAGTATGTAGGAATAAAAATATAAAAGTTTATCATCTCTTTCTTTGAAGGTACCATAAAAAATTTTGTTAAGTTAAAACAACAATAAACCCCTGGTAATAGGAAGACCCGAAGTTGTTATCAATTCTATTCATCCCATAAGATAATTGGCATATAAGCCCCCACCAGGTACAGGATCCTTGTCCCAACCTCAAAAAGCTGCCAATACACTTGAACTCCACGGCACAATAACGCACAAATTATAGCCGATTCCACAATAGCCGGCAGCGGCAGGACAAAACAAAATTAAAGGGACTAGAAAAGTAATGAGACCCATAAGGTCCAGAAAACGGCAATTATCATGTTTCTAAAGAATAGTATAAAGCATTATCATGTTTTTAAAAATTTTTTGAGAGTATTGCATATTGGCCGCCTTATATTGTATACTGTTTAAGTAAATTAAGGTGAATTTCCTTATTCATTTTAGTGTCAGACTTGGATGTAATTGTCACGTACTCAAGTGTGCATCCTAGAATGGATAGTTACAAGAATTATTCACTTTTGACACCTGAATTTAATCCGGAAGTCTCCAACTACTGCAACCAACATGCTATATTGGTTAGATGTGTTTCTGGTTTTTATTATTTCATTACCTGATTAAAATCATTCAGGGTTCATAACTTTTATAGGTTGAAGTAGTTAAATTGTACAATGAATTCATTTTAACATCTAATAATATGATTAAATGTATGCTACTGAAGCTTGAATTGTTCTGGTACTGCTTTCCTCTCCCTATCCCTTCAAAGATATTTATGGAGAGTAAAATTTGAAGTTTTCTGAATCTTAGTTGAGGCACATTGTAAATGTTCTCTAGTAATAATTATTTCTCCTAGACGCAATAGCTTGATATCTTGTTGCCATCCGTCTTTGTTGTCTGATTGCTTCATTTACTTGTATTTTCATAGTCATCTTTGTTGTTTTCTGTGACATAGGTCCTTGCTGCTTCAGCAATATTGAATTTCATAGACTATGGTGGACCTAATAGTAGAGATATAATTCGTTATTACAGGGGGCTTTTGAGCAAATTTCGTGCACTCCTTAGGGTATATAATCTTTCACTCAAACAGGCATTTGTTTTTCTTTTTTTTCTTTGATGATTGAGTTTACGTGTAATTATCAGTAAATTGTATCTCAATCCTGACTCGTCTCTGGCACTTGAGGTTTGTTCGAGAGATGACATAACGAAACAATTGTATCTCGATCCTGATGTTACGCATACTTCTAGTCGTGTGATCTTGGATGCGGCGATGGGAAAATGTAGACTGTTACTGCCCTGATCTTGGCTGCGGATGAGGGAACGCTTATGTAAGTAAGAAATTGAAACTAGTTGAAATGGTTCTTGTTTGTCAATTTAGCTTGCATTTTCTAAGTGGTATTATTAACTTGTGAAGTTTGTTGTTACAGACTTGCGGTGCTGTATAGCAAAAGAAGTAGCTAGGAAATGAGTCTTGCAGCTAACAGGATCCTAAACTCCACATCCTTGTACATTTGAACTACCTAATATACTTTGAATTCATTCATTACATGCATAAAAAATATGACATATAAACAGAAAAACACGTCCCTGAAAATCATATTAGTGTATTCAACACTTTAGCATCTTTCCCTTTTAGTAATCAAGATACTAGAACTTCTGATCTTTCTTATTGATAACTGCCAAGCACCAATGTATATATTTGTGTATGGGGACAAATATCTGAGCAAAATGGAATAATTGATTTAAGGATAAATGCAATGTTCAATCTTGCCAAACAGATGATTATAGAAAGAAAAAGATAAATACTTAGTTTGTCACAATCAAACAGGCAGTACCCCAACATCTTTTGTAAAGTCTATAATTATAGCCACTCTCCGGGGACTCACTAACTGAGTATCAGAGGAGAAAAAGTAGTTGAGAAATTGATAGTTATACAAACTTACATGAAAGAACAAAATAAGGTATGTGAAAATTGAAGAAGATAGACCAGCAAACAACTACCTTTTTATAGAAGAAGGTGTTGAAAAAATAGCATTTCAGAAATTTTTTTGGCTCTCTGTTTTCCCTTTCTTTCAGCAATTCAAGACAGAGATTAATGACTTACAAAAGAGAAATTACATGTGGTAAAACCATATTACTAGATAAATTAACAAATCCTTTCACTGACTACTATCTGCAAATACACAACACAAGATATAACCCTGAAAGTAATTGAAAATGACCTCATCATTCAACCATGAACCTGGTTTCAAGCATTCCAAAATTTCTCCTCTAATATCAATGCTTGAGTTCTTATGAGAGACCAATATCTTCCTCCTGCAAAAGCAAACACAAAACATTACAACACAAGTGACATACAATCAAATAATTAAACACTAACACATGCATTGTTACATACCAGTATTTTGGAGAAAAAGCTTGGGAAACCTATACCGTCTCCTCTGTAAGAGGGATAAAAGGTTCAGGAGTTATTGCCTGGCATTTGATAAATGATAATGTTAATGCTAATAATTCTGAACAAATTAGAAATGCCGTTTATTCTATTCTAGAAGCAACAAAAATTCTTTGAAAGACACTACCCGGACAATGCAACTCAATTAAAACTAAGCAAGCAAAAGAATTTCACCTCTTCTTGCTCATCCTGTGGTTTCTTCTCAGGTCGCAATGCTTAATAAACACTAATAGATGATAACAGAATGAGAAAGCCAAAAAAAAAAAAAAAAACACTTTCAAGACTCTGTTTCCACGGATTGAATTTCTTAACTAAGAGCTTAAATTTGGAAGATGATTTGGGTTCCATTTGTGAACTATCACAAAAAAAATTCAGATTCTAGGTTCTAACAAACTTTGCAACTGCTCCTTCCAAATTTACTAATCATAATATTAACACAAATTATTTCATTAAAAGATTATTTCTGTTATGTTATTGTGTTATGTCTAAAATTACCTAATATAATTTTAAACCTTTCTTTGTATTATCAATTAATATTTTCTATCATAAACATGTAATCTCTATTATTATATAACTTAACCAACACTAGTTCATTTTTACTTTAGAAATATATAACTTACAAAGAAAACAAAATTTAATTATTATTATTTAATTTTTGAAAAATTAAAAATAAAAATCACTATCAACATACAAATTACACCCACAATAATAAATTCAAGAATAAAAACATTAAAAATTTTACCACAAAAATTAAAAAGGAAAAAAAAATTAAAACCCAAAAGTATATAAGCACATAATATGATAAAACAGGTTTAAAATAACTATTAAACCATTAATAAAAATTAAATAATTCAAACTATTAAAACTAACTTTATTTCAAACTCTTAATAGCATTAATATATGAATTGAATTAGAACATGACTATGTAAAGCTAACAACTAATCGAATTGTTAATTAATAATAGTATTATTTTTTATAAATACTAAATTAAAAATAATTTAAAATGACAAATAATATTTTAGAAAAATAATGAACAAAAATACTTACTGTCATTAGTTTAAAACTTTGTTCACATCCGTATTTATATATATTATAGATGTAGATAACTAATTTACTGATTTTCTAAATATACATTAAAAGAATATTTACCAATCCTAATATAACATGACACATCAAATAATTTATTTTTTTAATTGATTTTTGAGATTATGTTCCATAAAAAAGAAAATTTGGGCCTGCATAGGTCAACCTAAAATTTTTGTTACCCTTATTTTTCATATAAATACGAAGTTATCCCTACCCGACGCAAACTCATATACAAAAGCAGTTTTGCAGGGTTTTCTTTGGCTGAAGGGCAAAAGCAGTTGTTATACGTTTAGATAAAAAGACGACGAAGACGAAGACGAAGACGATGGAGGCTCCCGAGTCAGCAGAGCAGATAGCCAACAATGAAGATCTTTTAACTGAAATCCTCCTTTATTTGCCTGCAAAATCTCTCATCAAATTCAAGGTCGTCTCAAAACAATGGATGTCTCTTATTTCCAGCACCGGGTTCTGCCTCTCCCACGCTTGCTCCCCACGCAACAAAGGCTCTCTTAAACCTTCCGCTTTATTTCTCGACGTCTACCATTTTCCACCTTCAGAGTTCAGCTTCCATCCTCTGACTCATGACTGCGTACGACTCCCACGCTTCGATTTTATAGATGAGCCGATCGTTATGATATTGGAATCTTGTTCTGGCTTGCTTCTTTGTGCTTCCTATGATTCTTTCCCAGATCAGTCAACAATTAGATGTGTTGCTTGGTACCCAACTACCGGGAAGGTTAAGATGTTCCCTTGTCCTAGCTCACCGAGATATTTTATCTGTAACCCAACCACCAGGAAGTTTAAGATGCTCTCTTTTCCTAGCTCTCAGGTTGAGGATTACGAGCACGAGGCTCTTAATCTGGCTTTTGATCCTCTTAAATCACCTCATTACAAGATTATTTCTGTCTGGCGGCAGAAAATAAAGGAATGGCCGGTTCCCGACAAACCTGAGTATTCTTTTGACATATATTCATCAGAGACTAATTCTTGGAGTTTATCAAAAATCAAATTCCCTGGGGATTGGGGTATAAAATTTAATCATGGTGTTTTCTTTAAGGGTGCGGTTCATTGGTATAGTAATTGTAGGGAATCACATTGTTTTGATGTGGAAAATGAATGCTTGAAAACAATGCCGATGCCGAGAGTAGATAAAGTGCAGTGTCAATATTTTGGGGAGTCAGGGGGATATTTGAATCTTGCAATTGCACATAGTGCTGCTAAACGTTTAAAGTTTAGTGTGTTTGAGATGGTGGAGGATTATTCAGATTGGTACTTGAAGTACAGCTTAAATCTTGAAGCGGAATATGATACTCTCTCCAGGTTACCTTTTTGGTCAAGTTATACGTATTCCGGAGAATATGTACTGTTTTGTGCTATGCAATCCGAGGAAGGAGACTCATTACTTGCAGTATTTTCAGATGGTAAAGCAATGTCTTATAATCTCAAGGATGACACATTAAAAGTGCTGCATTGTCCCACGGTAGACCAATATGGAGCCGATTATTTCTGTTTTCGGGCCTGTCGATACATTGAGACCCTTTTTTGTATTTGAGATGTGCAACTTTTTGCTGAAACCAATCATCTCTGGATTTTTAATTAGGTCTTATCTCTGATTTAAGTTTTCAACGACTTGGAACATTATTAATTCACTTTATTGCTATATAACATTCGTTTGAACATCAATGAATGAGTTTTACTGTGTATATATGTATATCGTTCTATTATTTTCAAGTTACATATTACTCTTTCTGCTCTTGCCGATTTGGTGGTATTTTTAATTGTAAGTTTCGGTGGCAGATACACCTTTGATGATCGGGTGTCTATGAGTAACCCAAAGCTTGAAAAATATGAAGTTTGAAGAAAAATTTTTAACGGGACATCCCTAAAATTTTCCGGTTGACACCTCAAAGATATAAAATTAAAGAATTTTTAATTGAACATCCCAAAAATTTTTTATAAATACTTTTTTCATAAATTTGGTTAATCAAATTGATAAATTTGTCAGTAAATTTATATGTATTATAAATGGACATTCCGAAAAAATTCTAAAATCCACTACTGGTAAGTTTCATGGAACTTATAGGACTTTCCAAGTTCCAAATATCTTTTGAACAAATATATGTATCCTTATTGCAAATTACATGCAGCAACAAAAAATAGCAAATACAAACCTTTTTCAAAGTTTTGGGGGTTCTATCTTAGGCTTTTCATTGTTGCAATTCTAGCTTAATTCACTTCCTTTGGCTTCTACACGTCAATTATTGAGAAAAGAACATCTCCACTAGTGGAAGTTTTGACTAATTTATCTAATGATCAATAATACATCTTCACCTAAATCCATGGTTGATACTGTTGATGATATTCCATGTTGGTGAAAAATCTTGGGTAGCATTTTTAGTTAGTAGCTGCCATGGTAATAGGTTTTCCTCCTAATTCTGAAGAACCAGAGTTTGCGGGTTTAGGGTTTGATTTTGAGACAGGATCATGGTTAACCTGTGATGAACCATGGCTAACATAAGGTTCAATTAATTATGCGTTCTTGGATCTATTCCTTGGCTGATTAGCGTCTTAGTCAAATGGGTATTCCAGTATTTCTCTATTTCATTATTAGTACGTCCTGGGATCCTCCCAGCTATCAAAGACCACCTGAAAATTCAAGGTGTAACCGTGTAAGAACCCAAAAAAGGATAAAAAGAATGAAGAAAAAAACCCCATAAATGAAACATTCAAATTAAATTGAAAGAAACCCTAAAATTAGCTTTATGTTTAATATATATAGAAAGAGAGGTGCACCATAGAAAAAGCAGAGAAAAACCCCCAAAAAATTTACTGAGAGAAATACGAAAAAGCTGATATTGAATTTTGGAGATGTGAATTATAATTATATTGTAAACAGGAGGGAACCTGTTTCCGAGCAAGCGATGAAGCCGAAGAATGAGATCTTCTTCATCAGGAGCAGAACGACCTCGTTTAACAGAAGATCGGAGATAATTCATCCACCGGAGACGACAACTCTTGCCACATCTAAGCAAGCCAGCTCGTTTAGGTCACGTTCGCCACCTTCCTTCGCCTGCTCTTTTGATATAGTTGGTTAAGACTTCGTCTTCTTCCGGAGTCCATGGCCCTCTCTTCATCCCAACTTTGCTGCAACATGGTGTTTTGCTTGTTGTTGATGAACTTGGGTTCTTCATGATTTCTTAAACTGTGATCCTTTTCTTAATTTTTCTTTGGGTCTGTTGGTGAACTTTGTTGGTTTTGGATTTTTTTTTTTTTTTTTGCAGGGAAATGGAGAAGAGGGGAAAGGTTAGGGTTGATATACGAGGAAGAAAAAGAATGAAAGATACAAGAGAGAATGTGCAAATTGAATTTAATTTCAAACAGACTATTTTTGAAAAATAAATGAAGAAAAATTATTCAATTTAAGAAAATTGAATTTAAATTTTTATAAATGAAGTATTTTATTTTTATTAATTCAATCAATTTTGTTAATGAATCAAAATAGTTTTTTTAATACGATAAATCTACTATTTTTTTAATCAAATAAAATTTATAAATATTTGTTAAATTCAAAGATTTTATTTATTTTACCAAGTTCAATTAGAACCCAAAAATTAATAATATTAAGTAATGTAAATCATAAATCAATCATAATTAATTGTTTAAATTATTGAAACTTTTAGTTAAGACAATTCAAATGTTGATAAAAGTAAATAGTAAAAACTAAAAATATATTTGATTAATAAAATTAATTGATAAAAGATTGCTTTAATTCAAATATCATAGCTTTCATATGGTAATAAAACCAAATTTTTAATTCTTCAAAAATAATTTTACTTTTATATCTTAAAACAATTAGAAATTTTTTCTTTTGAAACTAAAAAAAAAAAAAAGAACAATTATGAGAAGGAATCTTAGTAAAGCTTTCCCCAACTAAATAAGAATATCAATTATGGACTTTGGGCTTTGGCTTGAAATGAATGAGTTTTCTTTTTCATGGACTTTGTGAACATTTGTTTTGTACATGGATGTTGAACTTGCATGATTTTTTTGCATTAGAAAATGAATTACAGTAATTTCCAAAGACAAAGGCAAATCAAGTTTGATGAAGCCTATAAATTTAAGAATTAAAATTATGTTCATTGATACTCGTAAACATGTAATGCACAGCCAATATGATGAATATATAATTTGGTGCTTCTCCAAATGGAGATTCATCGGATCAGAATCAGCATAACAAGCAAACGTGCAATGGCTCCCCTGTTCTCCAATACCATTTACTACAAGCATTTCTTTCCTTATTACCTTTTTAATGTTTGGATGGATATAGTTTTAAGTAAATTTGATAATTAATATATTCATATTAGATCTATTTTGTGTCAAATATTTATAAAATATAAAAATTATCATATTATAATTTATATTAACACGTTAAATATAATTTTTTTTTTCAAACTCATATGCATTTTTTTGTCAAAATTTTAAATTATGCTACTTTTATATTTTTCATATATATTTTTATTATATTATCGTGTCATGTTTAAAATTATTAAATTTAATTTTAAGACTTTCTTTATATTATCTATTAATATTCTTATGTTAAACCCATAGTAAAGGTTGTGTCTTCACATATGATGCTGTTGGCCCCGATGAGATGGTTGGATACTGCTAGGCTACGAAGGTTTTAGTTCAACAGTCATCATGCCTTTCTTTGATAACGAAGGTTTAACTGTTTTATGCTTGCTTGTGATTTTAATTGGATTAAATTAAAAAAAAATTAATTACTAGATGGATAAGCCGTGCAATGTCACGGGTTAAATATTTTTATTATTATTATCTTATTGATTTGGTTTTTAAATTTTGTCACAAAATTTATCTAATAAAAAATTAAAAATATAAAAATTAAAAAATCAAACATAAGTCTTTTTTCTTACAAAATTTATCTAATTAAAAAATAAAAATAAAAACCCAAAAAATCTAAAAAAGTAAAAAACAAAAAACAAAAATACTTATTTATTATGGTGGATTTGTTGGCTTGGCGAAAATAAACGAAAAGCTATATAAACATACCATTTTCAAATCGATTGATAAATAACTTGATTTATTATGATAAATCAAAAGAGTATGAATAAAAAGAGAAAGGATCTATCAGTAAGAAAAGCAAACTCCCCTTTTTATATCTATTGATCTAACAAAATTTCTTTGACAACAATTATTTCAATCCAATGTGCACTTTACCTTTTTTTTTTATTATTATTCTAGATAGTTTTGTCACTTATTTAATTAGCAGTACATTAGTCATAATTAAAAATTTAAAAAATAAAAAAATAGAAAAAAATTATTTAATTAAAAAAAACTTAAAAAATTAAAAAATATAAAAACAAAAACAAAAAAAAAAAAGAGAAAAAAAGCTCATAGAAAGTGGCATTTAGACATTTTTTTTTTTTTTTTTTATATTTGAGACTATAAGAATTCAAACCTTAATATTTGGATTTAAGAGTCAAACCACTCGGCCAACAAATGACATGGCTATTGATCGTAAAAAATTTTCATTAAATTTAAAATATTAATTTTTAAACTTAAAATATTAAATAATAATTTTATTAATCTAAATATAAATATAAAATTAAATTAATAATAAAATATTTTATATATATATCTTGAAATGCATCAAGGCACATCACTCTAAATATGTTTTCAATTTGACTTCGCTTCTTTTAAAAAAACTCACCCATCCTATATTGATTTTGATTTAAAAAAAAAAATCATCTCTTATCAGATTGGGATAAATTAAAACTCTTCAGACACAAATTGCTTTGTCATATCTATTAATCAACACTCTATTATAAAATTTATCTAATTAAAAAATATAAAAAAAAATAAAAGAAAAAAAAGCCAAATGGGAGTGCCCTATGGACATTTCCATTGACTTCCTTTTTTTCATAAAATTAATTTAATTTAAAAAAATAAAAAAAAACTCATCAAGGTATCACTTGGATATTCAAATTGAACTTAAAATATTAATATCTTAAACTAAAATATTAACAATAATTTTATTAATATAATACATATAAAAAATATAAAATTCAACAAATACTAAAATACTTATTTTTAAATATACTACATAATAGTTTAAGATAAAACACCATAAATTTACTTTTGACCCAATATTATTATTATTTTTTTAAATCGACTCGACTTGATTTGATACTAATTTTAATAAAAACACTTATATCCAATTAAAATTGACCAAAATCCATTGAATATTAATTATTTTGTCATCTTTATTAACTAGCTCATTTTGTTTTAAAATTTTTCTAATAAATTTTTTTAAATTTTAAACAAAAAGTACAAAAAACAACAAAAAAAGAAGAAGCAAAATTCAGGTGTCACATGAGTACTATATTTGGCATGCAATTTTACAAAAAAATCTGATGATAAAAAAGAAAAAGAAAAACAAACAAAAAATTTTATCAATTTTATCAAATAAGTCTTACTTTAAATCTAAAAAATATTATTTATTAAATATAAAGGGAAAAAAAGAAAAAATTTAAAAGAGAAAAAATTTAAAAAAAGAAATCAAGATATATCAAATAATAATTTTATTAGCATAATACATGCTATAACTTTACTAAAATATCAAATAATAATTTTATTAATATAATATATATTTATAAATATAAAATAAATAAACAATAAAAGATATACTTTTATATATACGATGCAGTGGATCGAGGCAAAGGACCATAAACCCGATTGCAACTTTTGTTTGAGATAATTGATGGTTCATTAGTTACAGCATCCATCTTTCTGTTTGGAAGATTGTCCGAGCTTGGTTAAGTTGCTTGCCGATAAAAGGTGATCTGATTGAGGCCAAGCTTGTTCATGATCAGCTATGTTCGATGGTGGAAAGGTAGGACCTGGGATTTATTGGACCATTCTGATAAAAGTTTGTTTCCCTGATCATTTGTGTAGTTCCTTTTTCCTTCCACATCTTTTGTGTGCTTCATTTCTTAGGTCCACCTTAGTGGCTACACATTTTGAAAAACAACTGCACCTGTTTTCAGGTCAGAACAGGAAATTTTAGGACCCAACGATCAATATCTTCCCAAAATAGTTGCTGTTTTTGCAGAGGTATCATCTTTACCATATTTTGACTGCCCTTTTTTTATGCTCTTTAGATTAAGATTTCCTTGATTATTTATTTGAACGTTTATGATATAGGTTTTATGTGCCGGGAAAGATCTGGGAACATCGCAAACTGCTAGTAGAATGATTAATCTGTTAAGGCATCTCCAGCAAGCATTAAATGCATCTACACTAGCATCAACCTGGTCATCTAAGCAGCCATAGCAGCAGCTTGTATTGCAATCAATTCTATCATCTTAGTTATTTGTTGTTGATCCTGGTATTTTACTTCATTCTTAGCCTTCTAAAATTTTGGGGATGGGGAGTTTTTATTTATTTTTTGTTATTATTATATTATTTTTGGTGATAGAAGGGAAAAAAAAAGAAGGGGGGAGGGTTTACCTGGGTGTGTATAATGTTTTCAGCTATCTATTGTTTTGCTTTGATAGCATGTTCTATAATTTCTTTTGCATTGTTGTTCACCAATGTAAGTGCTTAGTTGATGGGATGCGATCGAGGGTTGAATATAACAAAATTTAGGTATAGAATGTGCGCATAATATAAGGGACTTTAGATGTTACATCAAGTGCTCAAAGAGAGTAGTTAGAGTATATTAATTTCACATTAGATAAAAAAAAAATCATTAGATATATAAGCGTTAGCACTGCACATTCTAATAAATCAATTTTATGATAAAAGAATAATAATCGCTTGATAAATGGTATTAGAGCTAACCTTTGACTCGTACGATTTCATGCCAAGCGTCCCAGTGGGGTAGATAAAGTGGGCTAATCTAGTCATTTAATTAGGTATTAGAGTAAGACACAATAACAAAATTTGATCACACCAAACACTCCAAAAGAAAATAGGCAAGATGGCACAACTGTGACAAAGGCATCACAAGCTCTAAAAGGAAATATGTAAAGTGGCATAGCCACGACGAAAACATCACGAAATTGGTTGAGAAAAAATGTTACATCAAACTTCCCAAAAAAAAAAAAAGAAACATAGACAAAGTGCATTAATTCTATATTGAAACGTTGGTGTTACAAATCCCATTAAACTTATTTTGCAGGAAGAAGATAATAGCCACATGACATGGGTCCATTCCTTTGGCCAAAATATGAGGTTGAGACAAGAGATGATTCTTGCAACAGTTTTGGTGTGTATTTGCCCGAATCTGAAAAAGTTTCAATAAAGTTCTCCTTTTGGTTGGCATAAATTTTCTGTTGTGTGTAATTCTCCTTTTATTTTGGTTTTCACTGCATGTGCTTGTAGCTGTTGACTCTCTCCCCTAATTATTACATGTCGAAATTTCACTTTTCATGAGATTACTTTTGATAAATAATACTTTTTTTTTTGTATATGAATCTTTGGAGATTCATCAAGATTCTAATCAAAATATTAGTTGACTTGATCTAATTTATTTTTTATTTTATGTAAAGTTGCATTTTGAATGATAAAGCATAATAGAAGTTTTTTTTTTTTCTCTTTTGTAAAATTTATCCATTCATGTTATGATTTGAAACTTTTAAAATTTCAATTTTTTAGATAGAATAGGAAAGTCAAGATAGAATATAAATATAACCTACATTTCATTTTGTATAGGATGGAAGCATTTGCTTTCTCTACCAAATTTTGACAATTTCAAATATCAAAAAATAAATTCTATTTTTTGCTAAAAAAATTGAATGCCATATAAATTTGGAAGATGAAAGTGAGACAATAGCTTCTATATGGTAGTGTTGTAAGGGTAAATTAAGATATCAACTTTTTATCTAAGCAATCAATGTCTACTTAAAGATCAACCATATTGTTTGTATAGAAATTAAAAAATAGGAAAATACCATTTAAAAAAAAATTAAGGTTTCTCAGATAAGCTAATATTATAGTTTAGTGGTTAAACATAAAGATGAAAGCTATGTTATATCTTAATCATAAAATAATACAAAGATAATATAATACAAATAAACATCCTTTCCAATTTTGTTTTGTTTAGTGATGTAAGAGGATTGTTTAGAGAAAAACAAAAGGAGTATGCATGATTTGATTATTGTTTTGTTTGTCAAAGTCATGGTGATGACTTGGTCCAATTCTCTCAACTGCTCAATGGATTTTTGAAGCTTAGTTTTTGTGTTCATCTGTATTCTAGAGGATTATCTACAGCCTTCCAAGTGGCAGGCTTTGAGGCATTTCTTCATTTTTTGTCTTATGTTGACTTCGTTAAAAGGGTTGAAGAACAATGGGACAAGGATTAAAACTTCATTTCATGGCTATAGGAAAAGATTTTTTTTCATAGACTATGCATATGAAGCACAAATCACTCAGCCTAAACCTAAAAACAAGTTGAGGTTGTCTCACAAATGTTCTTGGAATGACAGTTACAATGGCATTCACTTCCTTCAAAAAGTGAGACTTCTCTTGAAATGAAGATTAAACATGCCAAAAAAGATATCATGCTTTTGGATTTTGTTTCAAAATGAGAATGTTGAAAATGGTTAAAGTTGCTACAACAATCAAAATAAGTCAACAAATGACATTATGGTCAATTAAACCATGTTCTTTGTTAGATATAAAATCAATTTAATTGAATTTGGATGGACTAAATTTGCCTACCTCTTCCAATAACTTCAATTTTCTTATTATTGGCTTAATGCTTTAAAAATTACAACTTGGGTTCAGACAAGACAATTCAGTGAAAGTCAAAAGAAGGGTTAGTAGAAAATGAGTCTTCTTTTGAGGGATAGTTTGTCCCCAGCTCCTGATTATAAAACAACAAATAGAAGAAATGACAGACACAAGAAAACACAGCATAATGAATCCTACGATGGTTACCCAAATTTGCTTATAGAAAACTCAGACATCCTTTCAAACCTATAAATATAAATCCCCATCGTCCATTGAAAAACAACCAAGTAGATATTCCCTGAGTCCTTCATTTCGTCTCTCCCAAATAAACTTTATCCCCTTGTCTTCAATCCTAGATTTTCTTTGTGCCTGATACCAATGGAAATTCAGTTCCAACAACAAAAGCAGCAGCAATTGCATCAAAGATCAAGCATTCCTGTTAGAAAAGGGAGCAAATTGAAGGGAAGAAATAAAAACAACAATAAGGTTAACAAGTTTGTTGGAGTGAGGCAAAGGCCTTCTGGCAAATGGGTAGCTGAAATTAAAGACACAACAAAGAATATCAGGATGTGGCTTGGTACCTTTGAGACTGCTGAAGAAGCTGCTAGAGCTTATGATGAAGCTGCTTGCCTTCTCCGCGGAGCCAATACTCGAACCAACTTCATTACTCAAGTGTCCTTGGATTCCCCTCTTGCTTCTCGGATTCGAAATCTTCTTGACAGCAAAAAAGGAGATAAACAACAACAAAGTGTTCTAGTCTCAGCCCCGACAACAAGTACCACCACAACTTTTGGCCCCAGCCCCAGCACCAGCAGTAGTTCTAGCAGTAGTAGTTGCAGTAGTAGTGGTGGCTTAAGCAATGAGAATTCTTCTGCTAGTGGAATGGTTCAAGATACTCAGTTGTTTGATGTTGCATATAAACCTGATATGAGCAACTGCACAAGGGAATTTGGGTTTGCTTCTTCTCAATCTGATTTTTCTTATACCTATGAATCAGGGTTTGATAGGTTTCTTTATACACAAGAAATCATGAATTTGCCAAAGAATGTTCTTTTGCCTGAGGAAACAGGCTCTGAGTTAACAGAATTCCAAAGAATGAAAGTTGAAAGGCAGATATCAGCATCACTTTATGCAATGAATGGAGTGCAAGAGTATATGGAAACTGTCCATGATTCTGGTGAAGCCTTGTGGGATCTTCCACCATTATGCTCTTTGTTCTCCTGAGTGATAGATATGCTTTTCATTTGGTCTTTGCTTCCGTTTCTCCTTATAAAATCAAGAGAGTAGATGATCATGTAGGTTTTGTTGCAAGCTTTTGTAAAGTTTACAAGGACAAAAAATAGCCAGAGATAAAGAGATGATTTCCATTTTGTAAAATGCCAACAAATACACAAAATTGAGAAAATCATACGAAGGTCTCCTATATCTCTTAATACAAAGTCTAAGCAATCATGCTGATTTAAATATGCCCTTTCGGTTATTATTTACTTTGCCATGTTCTAAAATTTCATTATAAACACGCATATATGATGATCAATGGGGACAAGGTTCCAACAATTTCTTTTCTCCTTGGTTTAAAATCTTTCATTTTCTATGCCAAATGGAGCTCTGATATTCAATTAGATTCTATAATTGACTTTTGTTGCCTAGTGGTGTATGTGTGTCCTTGTAGAAGTTTGAGATCTTGCGTTCGAGTCATCCTGTTTGAAGAGGAAAATTAAAAGGGTGGTAGATAGTGTTCTTTATTTTATTCAATCAACCAACGAATAAAAAAGAGAAAAAAATATCAAGCTTGCCCCCACTGCATGTGGTTTGGGTACTTTCAAAGAGTCTCAAATCATTGCAAAAAAGAATCTGTAATGCTGCAATGCCAATCACATTCCAATGATAACTATAAGACCTTTGAAAAGATTTTTTTTTTTTTTCCTTGCTGCATTAATTCTGACAATTGCATTATCCCTGAAATCAGCAATCCACCTTGACAGCCTAGAAAATATCAAACATGTTTTTGTGTTTGCTAAACTGCTTTCCTAAATGCTTAGAAAAGTCATGTATTGCTTTAAACCCTGCTTGTATTTCTGTTTCCAATTCCATATCTGTGATCAGCTTTTGGCAAAGTACTTAATCACCCCAAACAGAAAATTGCAGAAGCATTTATTTTCTTTAATCAAACAGTTTGTGATGATGACATACCGAAGGCGCCCACAAGAGCAAGGGTGGCCACCAATTATTGAGCTGGAAGAGGATAAGGTCAAGTGTAGTATTTCTTTACAGAAATCTCTCAATAAGTTCCAATGGGACCACCTAAATAATTTTGATTACAGAACAAATTTTCCATGTGCTCCTGATATTTTGATGCTCATCTACATGCCATATATAGACAATTTTAATTTATGGGAAAATGATATTGATTGAAATGAATTCAGAGAAAATGCTACAAACTCAAATGAATTCTAAGTCATGGCACAAGGCAGAAGCTTTATTAGACAATGAAAAGGGCCACATCTCATAGGACACAAACCATAGATTCTCACAGCTGCACTTAAAAAACCACTCAAGTGCAGAGCCAAGACATAAAAAGATAGACAGGTTCAAGAGATGAACAATAAAAATAGCTGATGAAGTAAAATGAGAAGAGGCACATGGTAGACAGTGAGCTGATGCTTTAATGAAATATATATCTAGTAATCTTCCGGTTCTTCTTCGTCTTCAGCACCTTCTGCCCCAACTTCCTCGTAGTCTTTCTCCAGTGCAGCAAGATCTTCACGGGCTTCTGAGAATTCACCTTCCTCCATTCCTTCGCCTACATACCAGTGAACAAATGCTCTTTTGGCATACATGAGATCAAACTTGTGGTCAATTCGGGAGAAAACCTCAGCCACAGCTGTGTTGTTGCTTATCATACACACTGCACGTAAAACCTTAGCGAGATCACCCCCTGGTACCACTGTGGGTGGCTGATAGTTGATACCACACTTGAAACCAGTAGGGCACCTAAAAGAAAGACACATCACAATCATTCAGATGAAGAACTGAAGGAAAAATTGAGTTTCACCTTGGTACACTCTATCTAATAATGATAATCAGATTGCTTATACATAATTATTTGGAACTGAAAAGTAAGAGATGTCTACTAACCAGTCTACAAACTGAATTGTCCGCTTAGTTTTGACGGTAGCAACAGCAGCATTGACATCCTTAGGTACAACATCTCCACGGTACATTAAACAGCATGCCATGTACTTCCCATGCCTTGGATCACATTTGGCCATCATGCTTGAAGGTTCGAAAACAGCACTTGTAATCTCAGGAACTGATAGCTGCTCATGGAAGGCCTTTGCAGCGGAGATTACAGGGGCATAAGATGAAAGCATGAAATGGATACGAGGATATGGCACAAGGTTAGTCTGAAACTCTGTAACGTCCACATTTATGGCACCATCAAACCTCAATGAAGTAGTCAAGGAAGAGATAATTTGGGATATCAAGCGGTTCAAGTTAGTATAAGTTGGCCTTTCAATGTCTAAGGATCTCCTACAGATATCATATATAGCTTCATTGTCAAGAAGCACAGCAACATCTGTGTGTTCAAGGAGAGAATGAGTTGAGAGAACACTATTGTAAGGTTCCACAACTGCAGTTGAAACCTGCACGGTTGGGGAAAAAATTTCAGTGAGTTCTGTACATAATAGTTCAAGCATATGAGAAAAAGCAACCTGTACTAGAGCAGCTACTAGATTATTTTTCTTTTACTTTTCTTTGAAGTCTTCAAGGAATTACCTGAGGAGAAGGGTAGATTGTGAAGCCAAGTTTTGACTTCTTTCCATAATCTACAGACAAGCGCTCCAAAAGCAACGAGCCCAAACCAGAGCCAGTTCCACCACCAACAGCATTAAATACCAAAAATCCTTGCAGACCGGTGCAGTTGTCAGCCAATTTTCTCACTCGGTCCAGGCAAAGATCCACAATCTCCCTACCAACTGCAGCATACAAATCCAATGAAGAAGTTTAAGCCATGGATCAGGTTTAATAAAATTGCTAGTATTTTGGAAATGCAGAAAAGATTCTAGTACTTGTATAATGTCCTCTAGCAAAGTTATTAGCAGCATCTTCCTTGCCAGAAATAAGTTGCTCTGGATGAAAGAGTTGTCTATAAGTCCCAGCTCTAACTTCGTCAATGACAGTGGGCTCTAGATCAACAAATATAGCTCTAGGCACATGCTTGCCGGACCCAGTCTCACTAAAGAAGGTATTAAAAGCATCGTTACAAACACCTACAGAGGTGTCACTGCAAGTAAACACAAAAGAATTTTGTTAGGTTCAAATGAAATGAGAGAAAGAAAAAACATCAAGGATATAACAAGTGATCCATTTATAGATCTCATTCTATGTGCATCTCCATTTGACAATTCACATCCGAAATTTTATATCAAGAAAAATAAGTAGCCGTTTATAAGCATTTGTAGCTATTAAAGTCGTACAATACGATTGAGCATGATAAGTAAAGAGTAGGAGCCATATTGAAGTTACGGCACAATAGCACAAAGGAAATGACACAACAAAAATTGAATAAATTGCAGGGCAAGAAGTTAATCAAAATTTCCAAAGTTCCTAACTAGAAAACAATAAGCAATAGAAAAATCAAGAGGAAATCTGTAAGTACATAAGGAAAATCAAGAAAAACAGAGATGCATTGTATTAGAATTATGTGAATTCTTTCTAGATTCAGGGAACATTTGAATTTCAGCACATAAATTATGATGCTATTCTTGTAAGATGTTCAGTTAGAGCAGGCCAGGCAGCTAGCCATGCCAGTTCCTCGAATCCTTCATCAGCAGAGGAGATAGCTCTGATCGTTTCGCCTTATGAGCATAGCTTTTAAGTCAACGACTCAGGATCATATTGGTAGGATTTATGGCTACCATTAAAAATACAATATTACATATAATTTAATTCAATGGCCAAATTGGAAAGGAAATAGGAAACGAAAATATGCAATGCAAATGGAAAATTGGGTTAAATTCTATATTTTCACTTCAATTCAAACCAAATATCCCATTTCTATGAAACAAAAATCAAAACAGAAAACTCTCTAATGCTACCAAATGAATCACAAAAGAAAAAAAAAAAAAACCCACCAACAAGAAAAGAAACCCAGTTCCAACAAAAGAAAAAAAAAATCTCATTCAACACATGAATGAGGATGATCATGACATGATACATGCAAAAACATACATCAAAATACCAACATACATATACATGCTCACCTAGGCATCATCCCATCAGGCTGAATTCCATGTTCGAGACAGTAAAGCTCCCAACAGGCATTTCCAACCTGAATTCCTGCTTGTCCTATATGAACGCTAATCACTTCCCTCATCTTTCCTTTCTTTCAACAGCACTTTCGAAACCCAATTTCCAAAACAACCCACTCTCTCTTCCTCAACCCTTTTCTCTATAGAATTTGTGAAGGAAAAAAAGGAAGAGAATTAAGATATAGATGAATGTTAAAGCAAAAAGATTAAACGGGTATCCAAGAACCGCAAAGACGGGTTTTAAGTTTGTTTAATTAAAGAGACGTGGGTCCCGCTAATTGGAGCCAACTGTATTGTGGGGTTGTAGTTGTACTAGCTCGGCTCCCTTGTCGGTTCTCCCAGACTCCGCACTCGTGATTTTTTTCTCTCGTTCTTTTTCATCAATAATAATAAAATATCTTGATCGTTCATATTATTAAAAAAAAAAAAGAAATATATTATTTTTTTATTTAACTTGGAAAAACAATAAAAAACAGAGTAAATAAAAAAAAATGAAAAAAATTTATTTCTTTCTTTTTCTAAAAAAGAATTATGTTTAAAAGAAAAGGTTTTTATTCTAATTCTTCTCCATAAATGGCATGAGCGTATGAATCTATAACATAATTTTCATTAAAATACTATTAAAATTTTATTATATATTTATTGATAATACAATCAAACTATATCCAAATTTTCCCAAAATTCAATCTTCTCTTCAAATAATTTACATCTTTCTATTACAAATACTATAATTTTTTGTTTTTGTAAAAATTAAATTATATGTGAAATTGTACATTTTTATTGTGAAAGCAACTAATTTCTATTTGACTTATTATGTTGATAGAATTTTTTAGACAATTATTTTTTATGAAAAAAAGTTTTTTATCTAGTTGATCAAAAACATTAACATATTTAATTTTTTAAAGATTTATGAGGCGAAAGGGTTGTAGTAAACCTGACTTTTTTCAATAATTTGATTGATGCGGTTTACCCATTAATTCTTTTGGTCTCTTTATCTCATTCCAAAAAGAATTTTAAGAGTAAGATTGATTTGAATTTCACTTGAGAACTTGTTCAATATGATGTTGCATTCGATATTACATCTTACTTGCTTAGGCTAACTTGGCTTTTGGCTTATATATCTTCGTTTCAAGGGGAGTTTTATGAGCATTAAAAAGATCAAATCTTTCATTACTATGTTGACATTAATTGACATAAATAGTTATTTCAGTTCAAAAATAC